CTTTTCTACTACGAGAAGCCAGCGATGCTAATACACCGGTCATCACCGTAGGTTTTTCATGGTCTAACTGACTCCACTGTTAGTCTCACTCAAAAAATTATTCATCAAACTCCGCGAAAAGAATATCATTTTCACAATACAGGGCCTTCCTAACTGGAAAATTGACTTCAGAAGTTATCGTTATCAGTTATGAGCCATCATAACAGGAATCGACTAAAAATCAATCAATACACCAGTCCACTGGCCTACCACTCACCAATACACCTTACGATCTGGTGAACCGTGGACCGATGGACGGCTCACCGTTGCATCTCTGTCCATTCCTACAGCCGCCAGACCAAAATTAGACTGTCGACTTGTGATCTGACGTAGTCTACAGGCATATGATAAACCAGAATAGTTCAATTGATTCCATTATGTAATTCGTCTGACAAGAAGTTAAACTGCATTTCCTTTTCTCTCTTTCATGTATTATTCTGCCTATTGCGATGCATTTTGGAGCTCTTCTAATCATTTACTTTTAAAATTCTCCGAAATGCAATGCAGCCTATAACGACACTTAGTGTTCAATATGAACTAAGAAATTAATTTCAAGTAGACTTTGATCGAAGAGGAAAACGGCATACTTCCATACTCTCGGGAATACAGTGGAAGTAAATGAAGTGCGTAAGTACGTCGTTTCCTCCTTCATTTGATCAGACAAAAAATTTTAATATGGCCTAGTCTAACAATTTGATCAAAAATTTTCTGAACGACAACAATAGACCACCAGGACAGACTAGCAGCTCTGTGAATACCTATCTGAAAACGAATGAAATCAAGACAGTTTCCTATTGTTTTTAATTATGACCATGATTTCTTCAGAGTTTTCAAAGTTAAATTTGTAAATAAAATAAAACTTCGATTTGATATGCATTTTCTTTTTTACTATGATCACAAGTAGACTTAGAGATAATGTTGAAGATGTTCATGAATGTCAAATCATTTCAGATCTTTCTAGGGATGCAACGATGACGATCATTCATCGGTTAACCGTGGTACGGTTACCCCTCCCACTACAGTAACCGTACCTACGGTTACCAGTCCCACTACGGTAACCGTAGGTACGGTTACCGGTCCCACTACGGTAACCGTAGGTACGGTTATGGGTCCAACTACGGTAACCGTAGGTACGGTTACCGGTCGAAGTACGATAACCGTAGGTAGTTATCGGTTCAAACTCGTTGTCAATCGATAACCATAGGTAGTTAGCGGTTCAAACCCGTTGTCAACAAAAACAGCATTTTTAAAGAAAATAACGATATTTTATAAAGGTGCACGAAAGTAAATCGGGGTCGAGGAATCTGAATCTGAAGGCAGTTTTTGAAAATTTCGAATTAAAGTTTTTCGACAAAGGAAAGGGTTTTTTAGGGAAATAATGATATCTTATAAAGGTTGACAAAAGTAAATCGAGATCGAAGAATCCGAATTTGAAGTCGCTTTTGAAAATTTTGAGTTTTAGTTCTTCACATATGATGTTTTTGAGAGATAAAGTTTTCTAGAAAAAAAGACGACTTTCAAGGAGCGGTTTAGTCTTGGGAAGAGAAAATTGAAAAGTTCAAGGATCTGATTTCAGACTCGGATTCTTCGACCTTGACTTACTTTTCGTCAACCTTTCTAAAGTATCATTATTTTTCTAAAAAACCCTTTCCTTTGTCGAAAAAATTTAATTCGAAATTTTCAAAAACTGACTTCAGATTCGGGTTGCTCGACCTCGATTTACTTTCGTCAACCTTTATAAAATATCATTATTTTTCTAAAAAACCCTTTCCTTTGTCGAAAAAATTCAATTCAAAATTTTCAAAAACCGACTTCAGATTCAGATTCCTCGACCCCGATTTACTTTCGTCAACCTTTATAAAATATCATTATTTTTCTAAAAAACCCTTTCCTTTGTCGAAAAACTTTAATTCGAAATTTTCAAAAACTGCCTTCAGATTCAGATTCCTCGACCCCGATTTACTTTCGTGAACCTTTATAAAATATCGTTATTTTCTTTAAAAATGCTGTTTTTGTTGACAACGGGTTTGAACCGCTAACTACCTATGGTTATCGATTGACAACGAGTTTGAACCGATAACTACCTACGGTTATCGTACTTCGACCGGTAACCGTACCTACGGTTACCGTAGTTGGACCGATAACCGTACCTACGGTTACCGTAGTGGGACCGGTAACCGTAGGTACGGTTACCGTAGTGGGACTGGTAACCGTAGGTACGGTTACCGTAGTGGGACCGGTAACCGTACCACGGTTAACCGATGAATGATCGTCATCGTCATCTCTCTACGGTAGAGAGATGACGATATAAATATGATTACTTTCTTTGTTAGATTTCCGTAGTGAACTTCAATGTTTTATCGAAAATTAAACTACCGAATACAGATGCAATGCATGCAAACACGAATCTTACTATGTTTCTCTATTGACAAGTTTAATTATTTTCTCGAATATTTCAAAGGATATTATTTTTTTTAATTGAAGATACATTTTTCTCTATTTCACATGAAATATGATGCATCTACACTGAATATGTGCAAAAATTTCTAAATAATCAATCAAAATAGGCTGACATCACCTAATTTAAACATTCATTTTAACACAAAGTAAATGTTATTATCTGTGCATTCATAGTTTTTCTTGAAAACTGTGTAGATCATCTGTACAACATAATCTAGAATAACACAATTGCGTTACTAATTTGTCTTTGCAATGTGTGCATGACAATACCAACAAGGTCTTTTAAACAATCACAAATCAATATTTTAGCTTCGACGTCATTTTTCAAAATATTCTGTGTATCGATTATACTAAATGTTCACGATCAATCTTTGACGCTTCAGTTCCTTAGAAGCGATTGTTGTTCAACAAAAAATAAACTTTTGGTTCTAGACAACTCGATTTTTCTTATATGTAGTCAAACAATATCTTGATGAATTTTGTAAAACGCAGTACCTCTTCCATATTCATATTTTCTTTTCAAAAATTTGCTCTTTGTTTTATAGGACCTACGAGTGAAGATGGAACTTTACTAAAATAATTTTTGAAACGAGAACCTAAAATTTATAAGATTATTTTTTTCCTGGAAATGTTGCAGCATAGATCTTTCCAAATTTCGTTATATGATTCATTTATAGAAATACGTACATTAACTATTATTGAATATCATGTCTCGTGAAAGTTGTTCAAAAATATCAATGAAATATTTCCGTTTCTAATTGCTACAATGATTTCTGAAATATAAATAGACTATTTTTATTCATATTATTTTGAAATAAAACAGCTCTCGAAATATTTAATTATTCTTCAATGAATATGATCAGTATTTGTTTGTTTTTAATTATTTTCCTATTGAAAATGTCTCAAAATACTGAAAAACATTTTTGTGTTAGTTTTTTTTTAAATACTCTTCACTCCATTTTTTTTTATTCACGTCAACATACCTGCGATATGAGAAACAAATTATCCGTCATCCGGTAGTTGTATGAGACATATTAGATGACGTTCTTGTCAACATTTTAATGAAAAAAAAAAGCATATATCTCATTTACCATATGACGTGTGCCTTTTTATTTCTTCGAGAAGATTGAATAGAATAGCAAATGAGTGAAAAGCGCAAGTATGAGAAAAAAAACTTATAGCATCACGACACCTTATTCGGAATTTCTCATTTCCGTAGAAAGATGTTCAATTGTGAATCATCAATCGAGTTTATCATTAACTGATATGTATCGTTTACTGAAATTATGAGAACACTCAACGATGTTATCTCAATATACGAAGTTTCGAAATTTGTGACAATTTTACTGCATTTTCCATTACTTTCCGCATGTTAGCCGATAAATTGAATGAATCTATGTTGACTTTAAAGTTTGTCCATAATCATATTTCCTAGCCGGTAAACTGTACTGAAATTTTTAACAAGAAATGGATGATTCCTTCTTGACACGCCGATTACGAAAAAAACTATCATTTTTCATAGAAAGATCCGAAAATCGAGTAATTTTTTCAATAGCTCGAGAAGAAATCATTTGTTTATACTGAAAAGTTCAGGATGATTTATTCTTTGTAAAATCTGATTACGGACAAAGTTTCAGGTTGAATTTTTTTCATTCGATTTTTTTCTTTAGCAGCGGATCGCAATGTCGAAAGTTCAGTACAATAGTCATAATTTAGAAAAACCCATAGTTGAGTAGAAAACTTAGTTTATTCCTTCAAATAGATAGTAACGGATGACTACGTAGAATTGAACAGACTGACAAAAGAATATCTCTACATACAGATTGAGTCATAAATATATTTAAAATAAAAAAATTTAAACGCCGTAGATTTTGAACGCTTCGGTAAAACATAAAGCATAAGTATGTACATTAAAAAACTGCATATATGTAAGTTCATCGAAAATAATATCTTTTCCATTTTGAATGGCAGGATTTATAAGAGTACATACGTCTGACCAACATTCTACTTCTTTATTAACATAATTTGTGTTATACCATCTTGCAGCATCTGTAAACAGTTTGCTTGTGAATAGAAATTTTGAATCTTTCTTTATTATCGAAATATGTGAGCAGAATTTATTAATTTTGTCTAATTTAAAGTCCGATGAGGAAGAATACTTTATCTTCCCTTGCAAGGCCATCGTTACTTTTATTCTCATCAAAATAGAAACATCTTTTGTTATTGTACTTGTCTACTAGTACGTTAAATATATAGAATTTCAACAATTGCGATGGAAATATTTTTCTTTTCGCAGATGTGATAAGAAGTTTTTTCTGTGTTCATTCATTTTGACGCTCTACAATATGACAATGTACGAAGTATATTTTTGATCAATTAGAACACACATCTTGTAATCCGGCTTTCAAATTTTTGTCCCAAAGATTTTCTACTATGAATATTATTTTTCATGTTTCCTTCTGTCATTATATATAGATTATAATCAAACGTTGATGTTGCACATGTGGTGTTTTCGTTGGTGGATATTATCCTTTATATTTGGACAACTTTATATATACTATGCAAGAGCAGCTTGGCCACTTCCAAATATGTCGAGCATTCAATTATTAGGTCTTTTTGCAGACGATGCAAATACATCTGAATCTACCGAATTCTCTGTTCATTCTTGTGCGGTGTTTAAAGCCGCATTAGTTCTTTCACGGCAATATAATATAAAAATTGATGGAGAATTCATTGGATGGCAAGCAGCACAAACTGGTGAGAATGCTATAGGTGCTCTGAGAAGTACATGTCAAGCCGTAACCACTGTAAATATTATTGGCATTGTTGGACCAGCATATTCTAGAGAAGCTAGTATTATTGCTGCTTTTGCTCATTCAGATAATATTCCTGCAATATCATATGCTGCAACTGAACATGATTTATCCGATCGAAATGTATATCCTAACTTTTATCGCACAGTTACTTCTGATGCTGCTGTTACATTGCCAATTGTAAAATTATTTACTCGATATAATTGGACATCTTGCATAATGATTTATCAAAATGATGAATTTGGATCAGGTGGTATGGAAGTAATAAGTAATGCATTTAGTGAGAACAATTTGATAATTAGTAAATTCATAGTATTTGATATTGCGACACAACATATTCGAGGTGTTTTAAAAGATATTTTATCCACAACTCCAACACGAATTATCATAGTATGGGCTGATGATTATCATACATCATTAATTTTACAAATTGCACTTAATTTTGATGTACTTGGTCCATATTTCACAGGGATATTAAGTTCAAAAGTTTCGTTTAATTCTTTCAATCAAACGATGTATACTAAATTAATTGGAATGCTTATTTTAGAACCAATAATAGGAAGTGTTGTTAATACACCATTCAATACAACATTATTAAATGCAGCTTATCAAATATGGGAACAATATGAACCTGAAACATTTCCTGGACCAACAAAAGTAGATTATTATGCATTATTTGTATTTGATGCAACTTGGACATTGATACAATCATTACAACAACTTTGTTCAACGTATACAAATAGTTCTTCTCCATGTATATCAATTGTTAACAATTCATTCTGTTTCGATCGTCATCTTCTTAATGCTACTTCATTTCTCAATACGATTAGTACTACAGAATTTCTTGGCGTATCTGGTCCAGTAAAATTTAGTGACAATGTGACAGATAGAATAGATGGAATTTATTATGTTATACGAAATATTCAGCCTTCTACGAATAATATAGAATTGGTACCAGTATTGCAATGGTCTCATTCTGATAATTGGAAAACATATACACAAGCTGATGTCATCATATGGCCTGGTAATACATTAATACCTCCTACTGGATTTACTGGACTTAAAGGAATAAACTTACGAATTTGTATTATTGAATCAATGCCATTTATAATACGAACAGATATCATTGAACAAAATCAAACAAAGTTAAGTGGTTATGTACCCGATCTTATTAATCTTTTACAAACTAGGATGGGATTTATTCCTTATATTATATATCCACCAACAAATCAGACTTATGATGGATTAATTAAAGCAGTGGCGACAAGTATTTATGATGTGGCAATTGGTGATATTACTGTTACTGCTAAGCGAAGAGAAATAGTTGATTTTTCAACTTCAATATTTGAAAATTCTCTACGAATTATTGTTCGACAAACAAAAACTGTTCATATTGATCTTCTTTCCTATTTAAGGCCATTCTCACTTAATCTATGGTTGATACTCTTGATTTGCCTTGTTTATGCTGCTGTTTTACTTTGTATATTAGAACGACCGAATAATGAAGCGTTGCAAAATAGATCAATAATATCATCTAGTGGAATGAGTATGTGGTATTCTATTGGTACTATTATGGGATATGGTGCAGATTTTCATGTTCAAACAGCTGCCGGACGATTATTAACTATAGGTTTATATCTCTTAAGCTTGGTATTAGTGGCAACATATACTGCCAATTTAGCATCTGATTTAACAATATCAAAATCAAAGGATAGTATTTCTGGCATTGATGATATCAAAAATGGAAAGATATCATTTAGCCGTATTGGTATTCTTGTAGAATCATCAGTGGAAGATTATTATTTACGTGAAATTTCTGAAGGTGTTCGTAATTATTATCCAATGAAAACACAAAATGAATTGTTTAACAGTTTATTAAATAATTTAATTGATGCATCGATTTCGGATATTAGTGCTATAGAATATTATACTAATAATGTATATTGTAATTTAACATTTGTCGGAAAAGATTTTGCTCCGAGTTCATATGGTATTGCTTATCCTAAACAATGGTTATATGGAAAAGATTTAGATGTCATTATATTATCGTTAAGAGAATCAGGTGTTCTTGATGATTTAAAAGAGAAATGGTTTGATAAAAATGTTTGTCAAGATTCATCTTCATCTTATGTATCTACTAGTATCAACATGGAACAAATGAGTGGTTTATTTGTTACTTTTGGTCTTATCAGTATTCTATCGTTAGTATTATTTATATCGAAAAAAATAATTTGTTATATAAGATTATCTAAGAAGATCAGTACGTTGAAAGAATTCTTTAATTCAACACCAAGTCAATGAAACAATCGATCCAATGAAAATTTTGTCTAAATGTACATAAAATTCTCAAGTGTCTTTGCTCTATACTACAAAACTGTAATTGCAAAACTATCTTTATCAGAATTACTTGCAAATCATTTTTTTGCTTTTTAGAATTCATTATAACAATTAATAAAAGATGAGAAAAATTTCTAAAAAATGTATTTTCATATAATTTGTGTCGTTGATAACTAAAGACTAGAACTCTACTCGAGGGTGAGTATGGATGCAGTTCTCCTTTGCAAGAAAGCGACACGCATATACCCATACCCTCTAAAAGATTTCTTCAGAAAGTGAATTAATCATCGAAACGATACAAAAAAGAAAGATACTGATTTCTTTATCCGTTTACACATTCATTGTAAATATATAGAAATCAAATGAAAGAATTAAAGATTATATTCAACGAACTTACCTTCTTGCATAAATTGTATCAATGGCGAAGAATTCAAATGATGAACAGTTTTCACGAACGAATTCTAAAAAAACAAAAAGATATTGAAAGAATATTATTAAATTTTTTTGGAAAATAGATCATATCAATAAAAATAGAGCAAACAAAAATTCAACTTGAATTAACAATATGCTTTTCGACTGAGACTATGTTCATTTAATGAGTAAGAGAAAATGTTTAGAATGATTTGGATTTCATTGTTTTTTAACCGAAACTGTAGTCCTACTCAGGTGGCATACAAAATCGATGTTCGAATTCAAATTTTGCATGACTCGTTAAGAATTTTGTTCACGCTAAGTTTCAAGTCGAAATTCTATTTTTCAGATGACTTGAGAGAGACTACATGCTTTTATACTGAAACATCGAGTAGAATTTCTATATATGGACAACGAAGATTCGGAACAAGAACAATTCGTCAATCAACTTTTCATATTCTCATCTAATATATGCTCGTTGATAAATGGAAAGGTTCCTCATAGAATTTTATTCAAAAATTTGATCGTATCTTTTTAATATTTGAACTAAAAAGGCAAGAAAATTTTGATGATGTGTTGAATAATGTTCGATGATCAACTGTATTGAGGAATTATATTGAACATTTAATTGTTTCCTCCTTTTACAGATCGTGACTGTCCAAAATGAGAAAAAAGAAAGTTTTACGATGGCTTAACTTTAAGCTTTTTTGGTTGGGTGGGTGTAAATGTGAGTATGAGTGCCGGATTTGGATATCAATCTTGTGATCACTCACATCAACACCCACACCCACACCAAAATCTTCGACATTTAACTGTTCAAGTTGATCGAATACCTAAGAATCAACAATTTCCATTTGTAATCCAATCGATGTCGTCATTGAAACTCATAGTCAATCAGTTGACTAGTGGAACGATTAATTTACTCAAAAATATGCCTAATTTAACTTTTTTTAACTCTTCAAACTAGAAAGCATAATATGAATGGTCGTCGATGGGAACAATTTATTATTGATTATTTACCAAAATTGAAAACATTTCAATTTTTGATGTTGATACAGGAGAAGAATTGAATGAAATTATCGATTCTTATCCGACCTCATTTTGGCTCATTCATCATCAATGGTTCGTACGATGCTACTTTAACTCAACAAGGAACTACATCACAGTTCTTTTTTTTTTTACTTTACCATATCCTCTCTCATTCTTCAATTACGATATATGGGAATCAACTCCTGTTACAATATCAACATATCTCAATTAAAATGATTATTTGTGTTATAATCATGTTACTAAATTGATATGTTCGGATTTGTCATTTAATGATTGGTTATTATCTCATATTCGTTTTCAGAATATTCACAATCTTGAAGTGTCAATTTCTTATTCGGATCTATTGTTGTCCATACTTTCACGAATGGATCGATTGACTTCTCTCCATGTAAGAAGTAATTCAAACGTCAATGATAAAATTGTTTTGTTACAATTAAATGATTTTATTAATAAAGCACCTTGTCTTCATTCACTAATTATTAATAATTGGAATCCATCGGCTATTCAAGATTTACCATTGCATATTATCAGTAATTCAATTCGTCGACTTGATTTACAGAGTGGACGTTATCTAAAACATGATCGGTGCCTCAATAGTGAACAGTGTGCAGCATTTCTTCGTTCATCACGGACCAAACAATGCGAAATTCTTGAAATTGTTGTTAATGATCAATCGATGATAGATGATCTAATCAATGGTATCAGCAATTTAAAAGCTTTGAAAGTGATGCTACAACCCGGTCGGCAAGATGATCATTTTCCGAGCAGAGAAGAAATGATTAGATGGATGGCATCGCAATATTCACAAACTTTCACCGAGAACATAATTGATACTGAAACTATGCAATTTTGGATTCGCTGATAAACTATGTAAATGTAAATGAACTAAAATTGATTTACTTTTTTATATGCATTCGAACTTAAAATTATGGATAAAATTTTGATTGAAATTGATTATTTTCACATTAGATGAAGCATGATTGGTTAGAATGAATAGTTTCATTTTCCAATGCTTAACATATGATAATTATTTTATTTCACTTTTAGAAATTATGTGGTGTTTTAACAATTAAAATGTATTGGAAATATTCATCATTAATGTATTTTCAATAAATGAAACTAAAAAAGCTTTTTCAGCCATATCCTCCTGTGCAGAACACGATAGATCTCGAGAGAGGAAATGAATATCAATATGAGAAAAATAATAAAAAAGCGGTCATGGGGGTGACCAATGGGGGATTCAGTGGCTGTGATAACCCATTAGCCTTCGGACCGCATTGTCTTTCTGTATAAATCTACTACTTGAAGAGTAAATCATTTGATGTTGTGCAATTACATCGGCAAGGTAGGAGAAGAGAATCAATGTTTAGCAAAGGTTTGTCATTGCGAAGGCTGCTTGCTGATTTGAATGATTTCACTTTTCTGTCAAGAATTATGTACTGTTTTATTAATTGAAATATATTGAGACAATGTATCATTAATACATTTTCAATAAAGGAAACTAAAAACAAAAAGTTTTTGAGCCACCTATCCCTATGAAGAATACAATAGATCTCGCAAGAGGAAACGAATAAAAAAATGAATATAGGTATGAGAAAAGTAATAAAAAAAAACGGTCATGAGGGTGACCAATGGGAGGGATTCAATTGTGATGATAACCCATTAGCCTTCGGACCGTATTTTATTTCTGTATAAAACTACTACTTGAAGAGTGTATCATTTGATTTGGTGCAATTACATCCTCACAAAATGATACAGAAAAAGAACTCCAATCTTGTGAAATATTGACACGTGGTTAAAGTTTTGAATTGAGTGGCTTTATTTCTCTACTAAAGTGTAGTTTTTAAATGATTGATTACAATAGAGAGCACATGTTTTAGTATGGCAACTGATACATCTTGCCACCATAGTAACTCGATACTTCTCTGAAAAAAGTTTCCTCAACATTTTCCTACAATATTCATAGGTTTCAAAAAAATTAAAAGAAAAGACTGATAAGTCTGATTCTTAAATAGTAGATATAATTGTCGATAGTTTTCGTATTTCAATGAATGTTTGCTTTTGGATAGAGGAATTTAAGAAAATAAGTCTGATCACAGTATTTGATTATTCTACACTTGCATTGATTTTTATTGTTATAAAGTCAGTCTGTCATTTGAATTAAACTATTGAGTTTAGAGAATTGTTTAGACATATTTACTTTACAATCTCTATGAAAAATTATATTTCACTTTGAAGATTCTTTTGACCAACATCTTCAAGAATTTTCAAGGTATTTCTCGTCTGGACTCTCGTTTGAATCTGTGTAGGATTTATTACCATATAAAACCATGTTCTACTATTCAGTTAATTTCTCGAGAAAAGACATTGTTTCACCTCGCACAAAAATTTTGGCCATCTGAAGAAACGTAATGTTTTTCTTTGATGTACTCGTGTGTCACGCTGTCGAACACATCAAATATTCTCGAGTTAAGGTGTGAATGACGATTCAGAATATGTATGCATGAAAAAAATTGCGCGGGACACCCGCATCTCCCATAAAGTTACAATGTTTTTCTTCCCTCAAACTCTACTCTTTTTTACCTTTTCTTCTGTTCTTCTTTTTACATCTACGAAATCATCTGTGTAGTGAGAAGCAAACTGAATGTGACATTTCGAGCTCACGTGTATGATTGCTACTTCCTTTCGTTTCTATATTTACTTCTATTTGATTAGTCACAATGTTGGCAAAATCCAAGAGAAGATATCACGCAAAAATATAACACAAGATTACGAAAAAAGTTGAAAGTGCTTTTACGAAGCATATTTTGGCACCCTCAAGTAAGAATTAAAAAAAATTACAATTGCTGCTTATATCTGAGAATCAAAATTTTTATTTACTGTCTTTATTGAGCAAATTCATAATACTAAATCTGACAAATATGTAACCCCATGAATTGTTACAGCTGTCGTATACGATGTTATAGTTTTACGAAATTCGAATAGATTCGAGACAAAATCTTCTGATTCGATATGACTTCGATATATTGCTAGACTGTAACGAAATTCATATGAAAAACCTATGATCAGATGATATAGAATATGAATATTTACTTGCTTTGTCGGAACTAATTGAGTCAGTGTTCTTCATTGTATTTGACATACTGATTGAAAACTTTCGAAACTTCCGATATCATTTCCTTCTCCAAATATCTGTAAGCTTCAAGTAACTAAGGTAGTATTAAGAGTTTTGTATATTAAACAATCAATCATAAACTTTTATGTATCATCCGATATTTAAACAAAAGAAAACTAAGGTTGCATTTTTTAATTGTCTTCTTCTTTTGTTTAGAATTACTTCCAATAAAAAGAAAAAAGAAGTTTATTGTTACATGCTTTATTTTATCTGAAAAAAAAACTAATGTCTAATGTATATCTTCTTGATCTTCCAGTCGAACTATTTTATCACATATTCGACTATCTTGAAGTCCAGACAATATCTTCAGTTCGACTAGTATGCCAACAACTGTATTCGATTACGAACACTTACGATCGATATCATCTACATATTAGCTCTCACTCAAAGCTTCTATGGAAATTGCCCATTCGATGGATTTCACCAGAGAGTATTGTGTCATTAAGATTCGATGTTCCTGCACGCAGAAACTGTTACTTCTGGTCTACTCGTATAGAACCCGAAGAGAATCTAATCCATCTATTCTTATCATCTTTCGCTGGTCATCGATTTACGCGGCTTCATTCATTAATCATCAATGACGTGTATGATGACAACCTAGACTTTCTTGCCCAGAATTTGTATACTAATTCTATAGAATCACTCTTAATCAATCTGCGTGATAACAACATGAGAAAAACAATAATTTTTATTAATGCAGTTCTCAGTACAAATGTTATTCGAAAATTGTCTTTCAATAAGTCCGAAGACATAATAAATGACATTCTATGGCCAGTTCATTGCAGTTTACAACATTTGATAGTCAATATGTGCAGATATGATCAATATGTGACCATTCTTAACAATTTGCCTAATTTAAAGATATTTTCAATAGGTGAATTGAGCAATTCGAGTTTTACTCGTTTTACTGCTTTGCTTGCCGATAAACATCCCTCATTATTAAAATCTTTAACAATTAGTAATTGTAATTTACCTATGGAACATATAGAATCATTATTATCACAAACACTGGCACTTATTTATCTCAAATTAGTATCGCATCAACGCACATTCGACACTGTTTTTGATGGCTACAATTGGGAACAATTCATTCTTAATAAGTTATCTCAACTCAATCAATTTGAATATTTCTTTTCTTTTACTGACAAAACAAACGAATATATGAAAGTTCTTAATCATCTTCTTGCTTCATTTCAAACTCCATTTTGGTTACAGAAGAAACGCTGGTTTACTACTTGTAGCTACGTATTTGAATCGCAAATGTTCGAACTTCACACCACTACAATTAAGGTAACTGATTCGCATAATTTAATCAGAATTCAAAAGTTAGCCGAAAGCGATACATATCGTCTTGTTGATCACTCTTACCATGGTTGGACAAAGGTATGTGTTCTAATATCGTTGACATACACAGATAAGAGCAAAAGTAGTTTTACGAATCATTGATAAGAGTTATTGGCCGATAAAATCACGCTTGTTATGTGTTAAATTTCTAATATTCACAAATGAAGTACCAGTATCTTCCATTGTTTGATATATCTAGGTCTTTTCATTCATATCAAAGTTAGAGGAGTAGAATCCTATAGCTATTTTCTTCATTTTCTACGGAAATGTCTCTATGCATTAAATTTTAAGCCTAGCTATTAAGATTTGTAACGAAGACGACTTGCTGAAAGTGTCAGTGCTTGCATTTATTATTTTCTTCTAAAACAATTATGAATTTTCAAAATCAAGGAAATTATGCTACTCAATCGTTTGATGGCCACAAAAATATCTGAGGCATCTTCATTTCATATAGTTACTGTATTCTCAATTTATAAATTAAGCAAAATTTTTCACTCTATAACTCATTTATTGAAATGGTGAACATTAAACTCATCCAATTCTAATATCTTTTTCAATAGACATCCTCTACCATAAATCTTAGTAATAAAGCCATTGACGACACCACTGCTAAATTTATATCGTTTGCACTACAACATGACAAGGTTAGATATTCTTTTTTTATTTTCATTCTCTTCAATTGTTCTTTCATTATGCTTAATGGAACTTTATTAATTTGAGACAAGCTAAAATTCTTAGTTCTGTGATCTATGACTTGTTCGACGGCTCGAAGACAAGGGAAAAACGCGTACTTTTGTACTTGGCACTTCCTCGTACGTTTCTGTACTCCTTTGTACTTCTCGATACTTCTTAGTACTTCTCTGTACTTCTGAAGTGTAGAAGTACGCTTTTTCCCCCTTGCTCGAAGGTCATATATCAATTTTTGTACTACAAAAAGCATAATGATTTTTGATTACAACAAAATATTAAGGAATTTTAACAACATAGACTGTCAGAATATTAAACCTCGCTGGAAATCAAATTGCAGATGATGGTGCAACATATCTTGCAACTACTTTATTGAACAATACGGTAAGCTTTTATGCTAAAAGGTTTTTTTTGTATGTTGTCCTATGCTTCAAAAGACACTCGTAGAACTGAATCTTCGGAACAATCGGATTGGAATGATTGGTGCACAATATTTCTTTAAGTTACAGAAAAATAATACCGTATATTTGTTTTGCAACTTTTCTGTGACTTTCTGTTATTTTATTGAATTTTAAGACATTAAAAAAGCTTCAACTGAATGAAAACGCTAATAGTTTCTGTACGATTGTTGAGATTGCTCATAGAATAAGGCACAATAAGGTAGTGAATTATCTTTCTACTTTGATTTATATGCTATTTGTATCATATTCTACAGACACTAAATTCACTAAATCTTGCAAAACATCAGATAGGTGATCAAGAAGTACAATGTCTGGCTGAAGCACTGACAACTAATAATGTATTGGGATGAGATCAGTTGTTTTTCGGAAAATATTATGTTTTACATCTTTAGACGCTGGCTTCACTTGATCTCAGAAATAATAATCTAAGTGATGTCGGCATAGAACTGATAGCGAATGCATTACGAAACAACACCGTAATGAATAGTCTTCCGTGGTTTTGTAGTGTATCTTGCTATTTATTTGTTTATAGACACTCTTAAGTATTTATTTAAGTGGAAATCCTAGTTGTCTCTGCGACGCAGTCACAACAATGCAACGCATCAAATGTGACATGGTAAATTAAAACCTCTGTTCAGTTTTTGCATTCAAAAAAGTAATATATTTTCTCTAAAAGTCACTGATCAACCTGAAAATTCAAGGATATCTGATTGGTGATAGAGGTGTACAATGTTTGACTGATGTTTTCCAATATAATAAGGTAATTATTACCTTTCTTAATACGTAGTATATTTCTGTTCTTTTTACAGAACATCATTACAGTAAATCTCGACAATAATGAAATTAGTGATGATGGAGTTAAATATCTCGTTGATATCTTGGAAAACAACATGGTCAGTATTATATTGAGAGTAATTTTTTTTCTATCTATATTTTGTGATAAGACACTCACTACATTGAGTCTTAGCTACAATCGAATTCGTGACGATGGAGTGAAGTATCTTGTCGATGCTGTTCAAAACAATACGGTATGTCATGCCATCGCTCGTCTCTTTTTATTACATTTTTCAATACAAAACATCAATCACAATATCATTGAACAATCTTGGTGTGAATGCAAAGTCATAGTTCATCACTTTTTAATATTGACGAAAGGACATGAAATATATCTGCCGCATTAATAATCAGTTGAATCTATCTGTAGAGTTTTTTGTCCTTTCACAGACACTTACCACACTTGATCTGGAAGGAAACCGAATTGAAGACAGAGGAGCCAAATATCTTGCGGATTTGCTACAAAACAATAAGGTTTATTGTCATTTTAATTTCTACTATGTAGAACTAACTTGAAAGTCAATATTTTAATTAATCTAGACGCTTATCATATTGAATCTGCAGAAAAATCATATTGGTGACATCGGTGCACAACATTTTCGTGAAGCATTGCAAATAAACAAAGTATAAGATAATGTTAAAGATATTTTTTTGTATCTTGTAATCTTATTCAGACGCTTGTGAAGTTCACTCTAAAGAACAATCAAAGTAGTTTATGTGCAATGGTTCAAATGGAACATGAAATAGCACATGAAATGGTAGGATATGGCTTATTTTTTCCATTATACTTTGCTTTTTATTATGACATATTTTAGAAAAGCACTATATTTGATTGGACAGGTCATCAAATACGAAACGAACAATTAGAATACTTGAGTACTACGTTACAAACAAACTACGTTAGTCAATGTAAGATTTCTTCTGTACTTCACTTCTATTCTTAAATAGACAACAATCACATTAATCCTTGATGGAAATCATATTGGAGATAATGGCATGAAATATCTCGCCAATGGTTTACTAAAGAATAAAGTAAATGAGGGATAATACTTCATTTGTGACTTGTTCCATATTTTACAATTAGACATTGCAAGAATTGAGTCTTCGAAAGAATCGAATTGGTGATGAAGGAATGAAATATATCGCCGATGTTTTGAAAGAAAACATAGTAAAAGTTATATTAATAGTAATTTTCTCGTATGTAAGATACTTATTTTCTTGTTAAGACACTTACTACATTAATTCTTTCCAATAATCTTATTGGTGATGATGGGGCAAAATATCTCGCTGATGCAATACAAAATAATACAGTATGTAGTATTATTAATCATCTCTTTTATGTAGAAATTTCTCACTAAAATACATGAGTAATAATATTCACATTTCGTTCTTTAAAAGCGATTCAATTCATGTACTGACTCGAACTGAGTGATGAGCTTTGAATCGACCTTGAACATTTAGAGTAGTTAACGATTACATAGATTTATATTATTTAATAGAGTGAAATCTTGTTCTTTTAGCAACTCACTACATTAAATTTGGACAACAATCGAATTGGTGATGATGGAGCACAACATATCGCTACTGCTCTGAACATCAACACAGTATGTTATTTCATTAGGAAAGATTACTTCTGTACTATGGCTGTTCTTTTTCATCAGACGCTATGCAATATTATTCTCAGTAGCAATGCTACCCATTTCTGTATCGTAGTTGAAGTTTCGCATCAGCTACGACATGGAAAAGTAACCTGACTTTTTTTTCTTTTTCATTGGTATCATTGTACTTTTTAGATGCTTAACTCGTTGAACCTTTCAAAGCATTCTATGAAAGATGAAGCAGTTTCATTTTTAGCTCAATCATTGATGGATAACAAGGTGACTTTTCCCTAGATTTAGTCTTCCAACACATTTATACTCATATTTCAGACAGTTGTCGAATTGAATCTTTCTTCAAATCAGATTGAAGAGAATGGTGCTCAACATCTGGCCAATGCTTTACGAAATAATACAGTATATTGAGTCTTCCTAGTATCGACTTAGCCTCGCATGCTTTTTCTTTACGTAGATACTCTCTTTATTGAATTTGAACATGAACTCGATTGGATACAAAGGTTTACAATATCTTGTTGATTCTTTGATTATTAATAAAGTAAAATAAATTAGTATAATCATAGTGCTCAGATTAATATTAATTATTAGACTCTAACTATTCTGAAACTTCGAGAAAATAAAATCACAGATGAAGGAACCTACTGTTTAATAGACTTACTATTTAACAATAATGTACGACAGTCTTTATGATCATCATTCTAATGTCTACTTTCTTTGCTATTTTGTAGACTCTTACCGAATTAGATTTGTCTTTCAATAAAATCACAAATCATGGTGCAGATAATTTAGCATGCGGTTTACAACAGAATAAAGTAAACTATTTTCTCATATAGTTTCTCTTATGCTTCTCAGAAAATTCCGAAATACTTTTTTCACTTTGAAATAAGTAGATAAATCTTGCTTCACATTATTCGATAATCCTTAAGATCATATTCATATAATGGCATCTTGAATTTTTCACATAGACACTTACTGTGTTGAATCTTTCTGGAAATCAAATTGGAGATGCAGGTGCTCAAAAGTTAGCAGATATTCTGCAAGTTAATAAAGTAAAAACTTCTTGATTCGATATTTACATCGCTTTCATATATTTTGGTTGTAGACATTGATCAGTTTACAACTTATACAGAATCAAATCAGCAAACAAATTCAACAAGAATTGAATTCAAAAGACTCCAGAATTGCAATAAAATGATATTATGTTTCCATTGAGTTGCATTATTATTAGTCAAGAAATTTTCTCTATTTCACATCATTAATATGAATAAACAAGAATAATACTCGTATTGCCTGATTGGCCATCAGATATCGATCTCATAGGCTGAATATTGCATCTCGTAATATTTTCCAGCGGTCATAGTTAGCGAGAACTTTTAACCTCTGTTTTGAGTTGTTCAAGTCTCGATGGTGAGGGTGGGTGATTAGTATTATAAGAAAATTACGTTCAACTAATATTAAATTTGCAATTACGAATATAGATTGGGTAACATCTTACAATCGCAAACATTTTAGTAATTGTATTGCACTCAAATAAAAATATCGGAAATATCGGAAAAGATTTATTCTTGGATATATAGATCAAGTAACACCCTATTTTTTGGTCGAAAGTGCCACTATAGGTGTAAAACATGCTGGTTAGCAGTCATTTGAAGACCGCGACTTTCGGTGAAAAGAAGAATCACATTCAAATTACTCACACCTGAGAATAAGACATGATGATAGTTTTTGTAGAAGGAAGAAGAGCTATTGATTAAATGTTAAGAATCAATAATACAATATTTGTCACATTGTAGCCCGTTTATTAAAATAACGTTGGGAAGGTGTGAGTGCGTGATAACTCTTCATCTACACCCACACCCTCCTCAAGTTTATTTAAATTGATTTTCTAGAAATGTATCGATTTATTGATTGAAAAAGAGTATCTTGAATGAGATACCAATAACAAGGAAACGTTACGTTATAAGGCTTAAAAGATGGACTTTTCATCAATTATTTAGAATATTATTTTCATTCTTAATTATAATGAGTGCCTCATTGCTAGCTGTTATATAACCTATATTTTCATCTATTTTTCAGAAAATAATAAAAATAACGGAATACAATATACGGTCCATATGATTGTTATGTCTTGTTTAATCTTGAGTACTGTGCAGATTTTGATGAATTCATACAAATGAAAATAAACTATATAGATGTCGTTATGTATATTCACTCTTATGTGTACGATTCAATCAGAAAATAGAAAGATTATACTTCCTCAATTTTAAATGCGCAGATTTTGAGTGACAATACACTATATAATTGAGTCATATGACAGAAAGAGAAAAAGTCAAAAATAGAGTCGATCAACATCAGTGCAGATTGTTGTGGAAGCTTTTAAAGGTATTCTTCAATTACTCATTCCTTGACGCATGACAATAGGCTTTGTGTAAACAATTAGTTGATTTTTTTTCCAACTTTCGTACAAATAAATATTTAGTTGTTCGTGCAGTGCTGATTGTATTTCAAAATGGTCGTAGGAGCAAATCTCGAAGCGTACCCTCAATATACAACTGTTCTGATACCATCGTCGTCTGGTGAACACGAGCGGTTAGAATCTGGCTACAATTCTTCGATGTCTACATCAAACCCAGAGAGTCTTCCAAAGGTAAAACGATCAACAACTGGACAACAATCTAAGCATGTCGAAACACAATCAAGAGCTTCAGTTAGCACTCGGCAATCAATCTCAGCACATCATCAAGTACAACAGCCAGTGGATCCAATCGTTAGATATCGTAGTCAAAACGCAACCTATTCCTTAATATCAATGGATATGATGATATCAAAACAATTTAAAACAATTGAAACGGTAAGTGATGAATTCTTTCAGAACAGAATCGAATCCAATACTAAATTTAATGTGAAATGGAAAACGAACTTTTCAATATGTTTTTTTTAGAATACTTCAATTAATCACAGCCGTTATTTACGTACTCCATCCAAATATCAAGAAGAGAGTACAGATTACTCTGATGATTGGGAAACTGATTATTCAGACGATTTTACATCAGATAGTGAAAATAGTTGGAAGTCCATGCCGAAGAAAGCCTCTGAATTCGTAAATGTATCAACACAAAAAGAATGTCGAATTGAAGGCATTAAAAATAAGAAAGAAGACCCAATATACAAAAATCTTTCCACACAGAATGATTCTAAAGATCATTTAAAAACGAATTCGTCGAGTGATACTTTAAGTTTAATACCATTGGATTCAAACGCATTTGAACCTGCATTCTGTCGACAACGTCAGGCAGCCATTGATAATATGGATTATCGAAGAGCAGTGAAGAGTTGGAAAGCGAAAAATGCTCGTGATATAATCAAGCTCATACTCGAGTTATCATCTGGTAAGAGTCTTATCGATCGAGCCTGGATTGTATTCTATTGGGTTTCGCAGAATATTGAATATGATATCGACGCATACTTCAGTGGTAATATTCGCCATCAAAGCACAGATGATCTATTTAGAAGTGGAAAAGGAGTTTGCGATGCCTTTGGTACAATTTTCGAGACTCTTTGCAATGGAGTCGGATTAGAATGCAAGAAAGTCAGCGGATACGCCAAAGGATACGGTTTTAAATTAGAAACATCAGTTTTCCATCGGACGGATCATGCTTGGAATGTCATTCGTCTTGATGGCCGCTGGTATCTGGTTGACTCAACGTGGGGTGAAGGACATATAGATAATAGAAATCAAAATGTCAGAAAACTATGTTCATATTATTTTCTCGTACGGCCAGAGCAGCTGATCTATACACATTTGCCTGAAAATCCACAGTGGCAGTTATTGAAATCACCTGTTTCAATGAAGAATTTCGTTTGCCTGCCACATATTTATCCAGAATATTTTGAGCTTGGCCTTCAGATAGTGTCTCCATACCAGTCTAGTATGGGACTATTCGACTCGAGTCAAGGACTTGCTGAAGTACTTATACGAGCTTCAGATAGCATAGATTTCACTACAAGTATGCAACGGATAGGACATGAAGTAAACAAAACAACTAGTCTCGTCCAATATGATGCCGATCGTCAATTGTGGCAATGTCTTTTCGTACCTCAAACAGGTGGTTTTCATACATTGACTATCTATGCTAGGAAAGTAAAGCAAATGACAACTCAAAGTTCAACAGATGACAATACCTATCCATGTGTGGCCGAGTTGGGTTTAGAAGTTCCAGCTACTTTTAGTGGAGCAAAGACTTTTCCAATAACGTATTCTACATTTAGTGTACACAAATGTCAAATCTTACAACCTCTGGATGGTAGTCTAAAGGCAGGCTCGAAGCAAACGATACATTGTCGTATTCCTGGTGCTCATTGTGCTCGACTTTTGGTTGATGGAAAATGGCTTCCTGAAATCATTCTCAAAAATGATATATTCAAGACAGAATTTACTGTTCCTAAACGAGAGATTATGGTATATGTCAAATTTGCTAATAAAAAGAACATTTCAAGTTACGATGGACTGATCAAATATTCAGTTCATTAAAATCTATATATGTATTAAGATTGTTGAACGATACATTAAATAAATTTGTAAGTACTTCTATTAAAATTTCCCAATCGATATTTTGGACAAATCTTTGTATGTATTTAAACTTTTCTTTGCTGGATTACCTATTTACTACAGTTAAATTATGTGATTAAAAAAGCGTCAGTTTCCTCATGTTGATACTTCCTTCATAATCATGTCAAGTTTTTCACAGAAAAAATCAGCATTTTCTTTTGAAAAACATATTGGTCTAAATAGAATGCACCACTTAATATTTTCGATAAACTATGAAAAAGCAAGAAATAGAGACTTACGGTGGGTGTGGGTGGGCAAAAAGTACGAATAAGACCACATCCACACCAACACACTCACAGCCCACCCCACACCCCACACCCACACCCACACTCACCCTCACACTCCAAATCCACACGAAGGAGGTTGGTAAGAAGCTCTGTTCGTTGAGTTGGTTTTTCCCTGATTTGTGAAAAAGTAAAATTTTGTTATTGAGGCTTTAAGAAAAGTTCTCAGTAACCTTGTCCGTATGGATGCAAAATTTTCTAACTGTAATGACTTTCAGAATATTCTATACGTACATTTAGATAAATACCGATACTTCTATCATTTAGACTTTGACAATAGTTCATGTGTCTGAGTTGTGATCTTCAGCCTATTTCTAACTAAAATGTTTGTATGTATCGGAAAAATATCAACCAGACCGATTAGACTGATTGAGCAGAGCTTTGTAGGAAACATCCAGATCGAAAAATCAGATGTAAGATCTTCAGATCAGATCTCGAATATTGTATGATCCTCTAATATCAGAAGAAATCGTACGCAAAAGTTACATAGAGTCTTGCCATGCGATTCTTCCGAGATCATATTATTTGTACGATTTTAAAAGCATCATGTGCTAAGACTTACTGTAAGTTTTGTGGACACAAAGATTTTCTGTTTGGTGTTATAAGTTCTGGTGAAATCAGATTTAAGTCTTATAAGAACTTACCTTCAGATTATTTGCTCTAGGTGATCGTGACTTGTGTGCAATGACTGATAAGTAAACTGAAACAGCTATAGGTAGTTTATTAGCCCCATACATATCGTCCCTATGAAATAATTAGTCAAGGGTGGAGTGTAGGTGTGGATGTCCCTTGTTCTCTCACACTCACATCCATCCTATTTTCATGACCTTTGTTTTTCGTCAAAAACTTCGTCTTCAGTCTTG